TCTCCTGTTTTGAATTTCTCCCCTTGGGCTTTAGAGTTTCAAGTTTCTAGGTCTACAGAGTTAATGCAGGAAATGTTACTGTAAATTCTCTTCCCCATTTGCAGTGTGTTCTTTTGCTGTGTTTAACTGAAAAAAGACTTATTTCTCTCCCCCCATTATCTCGACTGGAGAGTCTTGTGAGGAGGAGGAGAGGACGGCCTGGGGGGATTGCGGAGGAAGAGAAGCTGCTCTTCTCTAGTCTTCATCTTTTGAAGGAATCCTTCCGTGGAAAGAGAAGAGCTTTTGGCTCAGACCAAGAGCTTGACCTTAGCAGAGCCCAAGCCTTGAACCCCACTTGGTGGTCGTTCTGGACTTCAGGCCAAACTTGCAGGGAACCCTGGGCACAGTCCCCGGGTTCCCTGCAACGGGTTCCAGGCTGGCCTGTTTGGAGAGCTTTGGAAAACTGCAACCACCACCTCTGCAAGAGCCCAACAGTTGGCAAGACTTCGGACACAGTAGTGAAGCTGAGATGTAACAGAATACATTTTGCTCTGATTGGACAGAACTCACTTCTTTGGATGCATAAGGCAATCAGAGATCCATATCCCTTCTATTTCAACTTATTTTTCTGTCTGGTGTATTATCATATGCCTCAAAGGTCTTGGTGAGGTCCAGCGAGCGAATGTCCAATGAAGTGCACAATTGCTCTGGAAGCTTGCAGAGTCCCAAATAAAGCGCCTTTCCCCCCCCCCCCCCAAAAAAAAGTCTAGACAGGAAGTTCTGTTTTTGAACTTCTGCCAAGCAGAGATGTTCCCAATAGAGAGCAAGTTTGCTCTAGTGATTAAGACTCCTGGCTAAAAACCAGGAGAAGGTGAGTTCTAGTCCTGCCTTAAATGGCTGGTAACTTTGTACCAGTCTCTCTCACTCAGCCCAAGTGTAAATTCCTGTTGCAGGCAATGGATCAACACTTGGTTGATCTGAAAAAGGTGGACTCTGAATCTGTTAGGAAGAAAATAAAAAGATGTTTCCAGCTGAATTCTGTGCATGTGTGAAATGTGTTTCTGTGATGAGAATAATCTCTGGCTCTGGGGGGGGGGGAGAGAAAAAGTTGGTAGGAGATGTGGTGGATTAGGGAGAAAGCATGAGTGGGCAAGGGTGCTCGTGGCTGCCTGGCAGGTTCTGAGCTGAGCTGAAGCCATAACAAGCAAAGAGCCAGGAAGGGCCTGGTGGGCCTTCTGGTCGCATTGCTCTGCCATCCACATCTGGGACATGGTGCAACCCAAGATTAGTGGGCATGGGGGGGATGGAATAATCCACCATTTTGTGTTGTGTTACTCATAAAAGTATCCCTGGAATTTGAACAGGTGATTCTGTCTATCCCCCCCTCATCAGTCTTTGGGGCACATGAAATAATTAAAGGGAAAGGAAGAACCAAATTCCCTGTAATGAAACTGAAATGTCAGCTTGGTGGGAGCAGAAGAAAACATGGCTACTTTCCCCAGCTTTTCAGTAACACATCAAGAAGCTGAGCCTCTCCTGGAGATGTTTGTCTTATGAACACTGTTTTGAACCCTTATTAGGCTCTCCCTATGATTGGGGGTTGATCTTGATCTGGGTTCTGAATGTGGGCAGAGAGATCAGGGTTGTCATTGTGTCTGCTTGTTGGTACATGACATACATGGTATTCATCAGTAGCAAGGAGTGGAAGAGCTCCACGCCATCACACTGGCTGGTCAGTAAGGGAATTTGGGGCTGACTCATTGTGAAACTAACTTCCTGGGCTGCATCTTGGATGGATGTGGGTCTGGCAGGGCTGAATGCTCTCTCCCGTTCCAGCTTCTCAGCTTGGACAACAGGATGAAAAATAGTTGTAGCATCTAATCTTGCCTCAGTCAGATCATCCCACACAGACCACTGCTCTTGCCAACTGGGCTGTGGCCTCAGACATTGCTTCAGATCTGAGGAGTTCCACTTTTTCTTTAATTGGCAGCATTTTGAAAGAGCCCTTTGGTTGACCTTCTCGCTGCAAAGTATTAATCAAACTCTTCTTTAGGGCCATTAATACATTCTTCCCTTTTGTTCTACAGGGTTGCTTTATCAGTTGCTGTGCTGAGAGTCAAACTGTTTGCTTTCTGGAGTGGTCAGGGAGTAATGAGTGACTTGACTTCAGGTCTTAAGCAACATGGCTTGGGTAGAGTTCAAAAGAGGTCAGGAACAGTCTTCAAATTCAGCAGAATGCAATGCCTAACCCTTTCCCTGCTAAGAGCTGTGGTGATGCAGCGGTAAGAATGAAGTATTACAGGCTACTTCTGCTGACTGCCAGCTGCCAGCAGTTCAGCAGTTTGAGTTTCACCGGCTTAAGGTTGACTCAGTCTTCCATCCTTCCAAAGTTGGTAAAATGAGGACCCAGATTGTTGGGGCAAGATGCTGACTCTGTAAACAGCTCAGAGAGGGTGGTAAAGCACTGTGAAGTGGTATATAAGTAACTGTTCTTGCTATTGCTAAGCCATTTTGCGCTGCAAAGATCGGCAAGGCTCCTGTGATGCCCAGCAGCCTTTACATGTGAGGGTTTAATGAACAGCTTTATTAAATTGGTCACAAAACCTGGCTCTTCCTGGAGCTTTGAGCCTCAGATTTGATCCGGGAACCCATGGGGTAATTGAGGAGGCTTCCTCTTGCTGGTAGAAACGTTCCCCCTAGTCAGCTTACGGACAACTTGCCACAGCCAACTCACCACAGCCAACTCATTGCAGGACAACTTGCCATAGGACACTCGCTGTGGGAGAATTTAACAATTCTATTTAATTATTTAAAATAAATAAAAAAATATTTTGATTTTTGCCATTCACATTTCATTCTGTCTATCATTTTGCATTCTTTCTTCAGTGATTCTATTCCATTATTTCTTTGATATTAGTCCTGTGGTGAGTTGGTAGCCACAGAGTTATCCTACAGCAAACTGACCACAGCAAGTTGACCGTAGCGAGGGGGCCGTGGTGAATTGTCACAGACTCATCAGCTTGGTCTAGAGATCCAGGGAGGAAGAAAGCCCATCCAGTTTCTCAGTGGTGGCAAATAATTCTTGGAAAATTGAAGTCATAGTTTTAGCTGTTAATTGGCCCTGACTTGTCATCAAGTTGGCATAATTTGGTCAAGCAGAAGGTTGTTCAGAAATAGATTATTTATTTATAAGATTTTAAGGCTACCCATCTGAACAGCAGCTTTATTTAAAGTCAAAGCTAGAATATATTATAGAATATAGAACATATTAAATCAGAAAAAAAGATAACCAAATGGGGAAATCAAGCACATTATCAGCTAATTACTTCATTCAATGGGATCAGAGCAACCCCCTCCGTTGGATTTATTGGATGGATAGAAACAACAAGAAAAAGGTGGACCTTTTGATCACCAAACCCATGAAGAATTTGATACGTGATAACCAGCACTTTGAATTTCATCTGGAAACTCACTGATAAACACTGTAGCCCATTTAGCAGGTTTGTTACAGGGTATTGTACTGAGGCATATCTGTAACTCTGCCATTGCCTTCTGGTCCAGTTGTAGCTTCCAAATGGTTTTCCAAGGCTGCATCATGTCGTAGAGCTCATTGCTTACCTGCAAGGTGACTCTGAGAAGAGACCATTGCTCCAGGAAAGGGCACAGTTGATGCACTAGATGGATCTGGGCAAAAGTCTTCCTGTGCTCTTTGGACAAAAGCCGAGACCAGGAAGGCCCCCAATCATGCCTCAAGGCCACCCCATTGAAGAATCCCTGTCACTGGCAGACCCAGTGCTGTCTGGGTTCGGCTCAAGCCAGTTCTTCCCATTCAGCCTCCTATCGATTGGCGACAAGGCCATGACTGTCTCACTTGGTGAACTAGGGATCAAGGTTGAGTTTCACCTGCTTACTGAGGATAAGTGACCCTATGTCAAGAAACCTCTTCCCTTAGCAGAAGAAGAGAGAACGAGTAAGTTGAGGTCTGGGGCACCTTGCACGTCAAAGGCAATCTTTGGGTTTGACCTTTCCTCCCGTCCCTTAGCTGCTCCTTCCATACCATACTGAGCAGCTGCAGGGAGCCCTGTTGCTTTAAGGTCCCTGATACCCCACACGTTCCTTGACCCCAACCCCAGTGGGGCTAGTGGTTAACATTCCTCTTCTCCATGTCTGATTAGCTCTCGGTGCAGGGAACACAAAGCTCTTCACTGTCCAGCAGGTGGTGAATTCCACAAGTGGCCCAACAGGTAGACGCTGCAATTGGCAGATGGAAGTTAGTTTTCCCATGGAGACAAATGGGCATCGTCTTTACACACCTCTTTTGAGGTGTGTCATTTCAGTCTCAGCTGTGTTTTAACACACATCTTGTGTAGATTTCCTAGGTATCCTTCGGTTCCATCACAACATATAGCTTTATTGTGATAATTGCGTTGCAATTCTGTGAGGTTGAACCCAAACTCTTAATATCCTTTTGTGCTTGTTCACACAGTGAAAAATTCTAGTGGTGTGATAGATTTTGAAAAAAATCAATATTAAAAGAGCAAATTTTAAACTAACTGTTGAAAGGGTGTTAATTTAACTTTAGCCCTAATTCTCTTTGGCAGCCAATTTTGAGGCAACCTGATCTGTTGCCAGCTTTATCTTCACTGGAACTGCAGTGCTTCAGGCAGGCAGGGATCCACCCCACTCTGCAGGAGGGCCACTTTCCAAGCTCGGGTTTAAAAGGGCAATGGATCACATTTTGGATGCCCAGATTCTTGCAAGCAATCACAGAAGTGAGATTTCACACACAGTGCCTGCAAGTTTGCAAGACCTTTCACAAGGTTGCTGAGACATCGTAAGAGAGCTCTTGCAATAGGCGACCAACTGGATGCGAACTCAGGCAATTGCTGAAATGCGATTCCAGCGATTGGAGGAGCAGTCTGGAGCCCTTGCAACCCCTGCCTCCCCCTCCCCCCCCCGCCAACAGACCTTGTCATGCTTTTTTCTGCTTTCCTTCCAGGTGTTGATGGGGAAGAGGTCGGATGACCGCGGGGACTGTGGTCATCACCGGCGGAATATTAGCAACTGTCATACTACTGTGCATTATAGCTGTTCTCTGCTACTGCAGGCTCCAGGTACTGGGTTCATTTTACTTCATAACATGAGTTTTTTAAATTATTTTTTATTACACTTCTGTGCCTGGGATAGGGAGGAGCTGTTGTGTTACAAACATGCTCTCTCTGTTTTTCTTGGGATTTGGGGGAGACCGGTCCATTTGGCCAGGATTTTGCATGGTCAGAAACCAGACTAGGTTTGTGTAGTAGGGGATGTGTGTGAGAGAGGGGGGGGGCTGCTGAGGAATGTGATTTCATAAATTTATTGTATCGTAAGAGTTGCTCTTTCCCTGTGGAACCATCTGCCCATGTGCTTCACTTGCCAGCTGCCAAAAGGTCTTGCACACTTGCCAAAAGCCAAGATTTTGACAGTGAGACTTGCTTTGGAGCACTTCTGGCAGTCTAAGGAATGTGAAAATTGGCATTTGCTGCTGCCGCTCACAGTCAAATGACCACATCAGAAAAAAATCAAACCCTTTTTGTGCAGAGCATCCCAGGTCGCCTCCCTGCTCCCTCTTTCATTTGCACAATCCGATGGAGGAGCTGCCCCTGAGCGGCTGGTACAAGGCAGATGCTTCTCTTCCAGTGGTCTCTTCTGATCTTGTACAAGGTGCTACCTTTAGAAGACTCTGGTGAGCCAGGTCAGTTGGGGAGTTCCTTTTATCACTACAATTATGCAGCCACATAATTCGCCTGCTTCTCAGAATACGCAAAAAGAGAGTCCCTCTGGCCAGTGGATGTGAAGGGGGAAGGACGATTGCCAAATCCTTGACCCTGGAGGGCAGACTTAGAAATGGAAGACAAACTGGTCAACCTTGGTAGTTTTTCAAACTGCATTTGTACTTACGGTTTGCAGCTGGGCAAAATAGTTTTCCAGAATAATCTGGAGCTAAGAAGGCCCACTACATCACCCTCAAAGTGCTTCTTTCATTAAGTTTCTTCTGCTGGAGCCAGATACCTTCAGAGAGAAGGACAAATGAGTTGGAATGATCAGATCCTTGCTGTTCCTTGTGGCCTTTGCATCTCACATCTGAGGCAGAGCAGGAGTCTTTTGGATAAAGCTGAAGGCATATGATGATATGGCCCAAAGATGTGGCTTGTTCCTGCTGAGCAATCCAGATGACTAGGCTTAGGCGAGAGATCAAAAAAAGATGCTTCCCAAGCAAACTCTGACCTTAGTGAAGAGACCAGAAGGCCCAGTACAATCCCTGGGAAGACCACAGTTAATAGCAAATCTCAGAGAAGGGCATGGAATAGAGAATCCTGTGTTACTATGAAAACCAGTCTTTGTGTTGGGCAAAAAGGGCATTTGGTGCCCTGCTCAATAATATAAATAGCTTGGGCCAGCTCAGTCAAGAAGGGAGGGGAGAGGAGGAAGAAGCAAGAACTGTGTGCTGGTGGAGAATATTTGGCTCCCAGATGAGGAGACGAGAATTCACCAGGACAGAAGAGTCAAGTCGCTCTGGGGAGGCAGCTGTTCCTGTCAAGCACCTGGGGGCGGGGGAGATGGAAGAGGGGAACTCTAGGTCTGTGGCAGCCTTGCCGTGTCCAGCTCCAACAGAGGATTCTCATCCTCTAGAATTAGTCGGCTGTTTTGAGTCTGGAAGAGGTCTCCAAGCATCCTGCATCCTGGGCTGCTCAGCACATCTGATGCACCTTGGGCCTTCTTCTCTTCCATGGTGCTTTTTTTGCCCTGACTGCCTGAGATGAGACACATGGACGCAAATTTGTCATGTGCAAGGAACATCCTCCGGCAATGATAAGTTAGAAGATGTGTGGAAATCATGTTGATGCCCAAACCAGCAAGATTTGTCCCATGGCGAGTGGGGGCCTCCAGCAGTAAGAGGACTATCACTCCACCCCAGAGAGAAGCTGCTCAGGCCACGTCTGGGCAGACACTTCAGGAGATTTGATCTTCCAGATTAGAACTTAACAATAGGGGTGGATCCTGGAAAGTTGGGATGTGCTGGGGTCAGCCATGATCCCCAAATAGGACACCTGAGGCTTTTATCCACAGCTGCAGAAGCCAGAGAACCTCCGTCTAGGTGCTTCACTGGGGGTCTTGCCTTGCCAGGCTTGGCCTTCAGGACTGGACAGGCTGGGAGCATGGCTGGCACCAAGGACCTTGCCCTAAACAGGAGCTGATGTGTAATGCTTGCATTTAGAATATATAATATAATTATAAAATATAATAATAATATAATATAATATAATATAATATAATATAATATAATTAATATAATATAATAATATAATATAATATAATATAATATAATATAATATAATATAATATAATAATATAATATAATATAATATAATATAATATAATATAATATAATATAATATAATATAATAATAAATATAATATAATATAATATAAGAGTAGAGTAGAGTAGAGTAGAGTAGAGTAGAATAGAATAGAATAGAATAGAATAGAATAGAATAGAATAGAATAGAATAGAATAGAATAGAATAGAATTAGAAGGGACCTTGGAGGTCTTCTAGTCCAGCTACCTGCTCAAGCAGGAGAACCTATACCATCTCAGACAAGTGACTGTCCAGTCTCTTCTTAAAAACCTCCAGTGATGGAGTGCCCATGAGTTCTGGAGGCAAGCTGTTCCACTGCTTAATTGTCCTCACTGTCAGGAAGTTTATTCATGTATAGATGTATAAACTAAGCAGGTTGAGATTCTTAGGGTCAGGAAACCCATCAGCTGGTTTGTGGAGGGAGGGAAACACCAGCAATATCACCTGCATGCAAAGATGTTCAGTTGAAAAAAGGTAAAAAAACTTGTGTTTAATTACTAAAAGCAATTAGATGGAATGCTGGCTGAGTAAATACTGAATACTAAATACTGAAAGAATATGGTTAATTGACAACATAATCCCATGAAAAAATTCTAAAAACTCATGGTAGAGTGACTGAATTAGCCTATTTTGTGGTTTTGCTAAATACAGTGAAACATAAAATCTTTGTGCATCAAATAACAGCTCCTAATGACATTTAAATTAACTCTGCTTTAGTGCATTGCATAAATACAGCCTTCAACTTTCTCCTAGTTAAGAATTCCTAAGATTGCAGTTTGATTGATTTCAACTTGATCCTAGAATCTGATGGGATTCCACCTTTTGCCCATGTAAGAATTCACTAGGATTTCCTGCTTGGGGTCTATGATAATTCGCCGTGGCCAATTTGCCACGGCCAACTTGCCTTGGCTAACTTGCCACGGGACAACTCGCCATGGTCAACACACCACAGGACAACTCGTTGCTGGACAAAAGTTACACTAATATGAAAGAAATGGTGGAGTAGAATCATTAAAAAAGGGATGCAAAAGGAGGGATAGAATGAAATGTGATTGACAAAAATTAAAATATTTTTTCTTTATTTTAAATAATTAAATAGAATTAAATTGTTCCGCAGTGAATTGTCCCATGGCAAGTTGGCCGTGGTGAATTGGCTGTAGCAAGTTGGCTGTGTGAGTTGTCAGAAAGGCACGTGATCCTGGGACACTGCAACCGTCATAAATGAGCTGACTGTGGCAAGTTGTCCCATTCCCTCTCGCTTGAGCAGGAGGTTGGATAAGAAGAACTCCAAGGTCCTCTACTGGCAGGGCAGGGGTGCCAGTGGCGTAAGGTATAATCATGTGCCCCATTGCTGCAAGGAGGGCATCCTGGCTAGACCTGGCCAGGAGAACTGGGAAGTGGCTTTGGAAGCAGTCTCAGTCTGCAGGTTGTTCAGCTGAATGCTGCAATCGGGAGGCTCATGCTTGGAAAAGAGCATGACAAAAACTGGGGAGAAGAGAAAAAGGAACAGGGTTCAATTGCAGGGCAAATTCCTGGAGCAAGTGGGTAAGACTGAGATCCCTCAGCCTATCCACCATGAGCTTTACGGTGAAGGACCAAGGAGGCTCCCTGTAATGCCCTCCTCTCCCATGCTCTTAGCTACCCTGAGATGGCCAACAGATTTAAGTTGGAAAACCAAGGGCTGCTGCCCTGCAAATTAGCCGCGGTGGGTCCAGGAAGACCTGCTTTTGCCAATTTGGGTTGCCTGCTGCGGATAGATAGATAGATAGATAGATAGATAGATAGATAGATAGATAGATAGATAGATAGATAGATAGATAGATAGATAGATAGACAGACAGACAGACAGACAGACAGACAGACAGACAGACAGACAGACAGAGAAAGCTCTATTGATCTGGATCTACTGGAATCAACTGAAAATTATCCACAGGAATTTTCCAACACAAAAAGGGAGATGATATTATCTAGTTTGGTAATGAAATGGCTGCAAGAGAGTCCGAGAGGTCCCAGAGAGCACCAAGGACCCCAAGGGGAGAGGTCTCAGTGTAGGAAGGTGCAGGGATGGGGTCTAATGGGCATGACTGAAACCTGTTGGGATGAAAGCTCAAAGTGACACTGGTCTACTATGTGTAAGAGGCCTAGCTGAGGTGGCATGGAGGCTGCATGCAAGAGTTGTAGCTGAGGGAAGACCCTTAGGGCCTTGGCTGCCCCAAGGGAGGAGGCTACAGGGGAGAGTCTTAGGGAGGCTGCCAGGCCAGGACTCCTGGGAAAAGAGGAGGGGGCCACTGCAGACTAGTCCTCTTGACGCAGACCCTAAACACCCTTCTGGAATGTGTTATTAAGCAGGTGATTGTGAGCAGTTATTTATTTGATTTGTTTATTTTTTACATTTTTGAACCCACCATCTCCCTTAGATTTAGAATAGAAAAGAAAAGAAAAGAATAGAGCTGGAAGGGACCTTGGAGGTCTTCTAGTCCAGCCCCCTGTTTGAGCAGGAGAACCTATACCATCTCAGACAGGTGATTGTCTAGTCTCTTCTTAAAAACCTCCGGTGATGGACCGCCCATGATTTCTGAAGGCAAGCAGTTCCCCTGGTTAATTGTCCTCACTGTTAGGAACTTTCTCCTTAATTCCAGGTTGCTTCTCTCCTTGATCAGTTTCCAACTGCTGTTCTTATCCTGCCCTCTGGTGCTTTGAAGAATAACCTGACCCCCTCTTCTTTGTGGCAGCCCCTCAAATACTGGAATACTGCTATCATGTCGCCCCTATTTCTTCTTTTCTTTAGACTAGCCAGACCCAAATCCTGCACTCGCCACTTAGTAGAAAGAGGCAGAGTGATGTTGAGTCCTGGCCCAGCATAATTTGAAATTATTCAAGACAGACCATGGAAGGACCCGACTTGAAGGAGTGAGGAAGCAGGCCCATTGAAGCAGAGCAAGGGCACTTTTGTCCTTGGTGAATGGTTGGAGGGGGTCTTTGTGCCACAGAACCCAAACAGCAAGAAAAAGGAGCAGATGTCCCCTTTTGCAATCCCCCACCTTGCCTAAGTCCCCCCCCCCCGTTTCTCTGGCTCCTGCTGCACTAGGCAAGTGAGACACCTTCCTGTGCTCAGCCCTGGGATGAGAGACCTCCTTCTCTTTCGCTGACTTAGAAAGTGGCTGAAAAAAAACCTTTTATGGCTTTTGGCACTTAACTGTCCTGCTGGTGTCCTAACAGGGATCTAAACTTCTCTTTCCTTCTGGTTAGATTGATGGCTTCTCATTTTCAGCTCATTGGTCAGAGTTTTTGTGCAACCACTTTATTTTTGAAGATACTATCCCTTTTTTTTCTTACTAGAACCTTGCAATTCCATGTTTAGTCTGCTCTTTTTTTAAAAAAAGGCACATATTTAATTTGTTGGGAGCAGAAAATTTGTTTTCTGCTTTATAATGTGCTGTGATTGTTTAAAATGTCTCTGTTATGGTGTCAATGTGTGAGAGTGACAATGATTGTGGATTTCCACAAACTAATCCAGAGTTTGCTTATCCAACTTGAGCAGGCCAAGTTCACACACGGTAGAAACTGCGGTTTGCAAATACCAGTGTCTGAGTTGCCCATTGTAGCAAGCCCAGTCCAAACCCACTGCCTTCTGGGTAAGTACCGTGTGTGAACCAGTTCCCTGGGGTTTCTGTGAATGTCGTGGAGAAGCACATCTTGGCCTGGGGAAGGAGTGGTGGCCCACGGAAATTGTTTCTCTTCCAGTACTATTGTTGCAAGAAGGATGAGTCGGAAGAGGACGGTGACGAGCCCGACTTCCCTACAGATTCGCATATCCCCCCCCTGCACTGCAACCGCAACGTGGCTCTGACCAACGGCCCTTCCTTGTACCGCTCCCCCTACAAGAAGCCCTCCCAGTCCCGGACTGGCTGCCCCAACTGCTCCCAGTATGAGCCTCCAACGTTCTTCCTGCAGGAGCCCGAAGAGGAGGTCCGCAATGGGGGCGACCTGGTCAACTACAAGGCCATCAGCCAAGAAGACCTGGAGCTGCCCATCGGCTTGAGCGGCGGCCTCCAGGCCCTCAACCCCAACCGACTCTCCGCCATGCGTGAAGCCTTTTCCCGCAGCCGCAGCATCAGCACGGATGTCTGATCGGCCTGGCCCCCTCAGCTCCAGGCTTGGCCAAAGGCTGAAGGTACTTCGGCTTCCCAGCCTCTTCCTCTCTAGTCTTGTATAAATGGGGCCAGGAGCACGGCTGTCTTAGTAGAGATATCAGTTTTCTAAACCCCGGTAAAAGCAGCTCTTCCTTTCTTCCTGTAGGTGGGGGTTTTGATACAGGACATCCTTTTGTATGAATATGCAAACTGGTTTGCCACTTTTCAGCCTGTGCAAGGTGTTGCCTCTGCTTTCCCTGATTGGGGTGGGGGTGGGGGTGTAGGAGGCTGGAACTGAGCCAGAGCCAGAACCAGATGTGTCTTTGCAAATTGCTTAATGCAAATTCAACTATTCCCCTCTTTTCTGCAGTGTCCCCACCATCCATTCAGTCTAGCCTATGAAAGCCGCCCCCCGAGGCCTTCCTTTCCCCGCTTGCTATCAAAGAGGTATTTTTTAATATGACAGAAGAAACGTACCAGGAATGTGGCAAGGACCCCTGTCCACTAGGTTCAGCTGAGATGAGCTCAGCTTTAGTTTAGTTCTTGCTTGCCTCTGCCGTGCTGGTCCTAGCCTACTTTTTGTTGCTCAACTGAGGACCATGAAAGTGTTTCGGTGGCATCTGTGAGGGAGGGGGAGGACTTTCCCATTTTTGAACATGATGTTGCCTGCTGCAGGACTTCCTTTATCTCACCTGCAACGAAAAGCTTCAGTGTTTTTGCCAACCAAACCGAAGATGACTGCAGTGCTCTGGGGCCCGGGCCTCTTCTGCTTTCTCCTGTTCCAGCTTCCCCTCCAGGTGTCCAGGAGGCAGACGCATGGGGAGGGTAGGCTCCTGCAGGCCCAGAGGCGTTCCTTTTCTTTGGGACAGACAGGCTGCAGCTTGGAGCTCTCAGAAGTAAAATTTAGTGGAGCGACATTCATAATGGCGACCTATTAGGGAAGGCAGCTTCCCCTCAACCTCCCTCCAGGAAACTGGAAAGTCTGGCTAGATGGGATATCAGCTGGGAGACAGACTTAAAAGACAGCAGGTTGGACGGCCTTCAGAGATGGAGAAGGCTAGTCCACACCACTGCTCCCCCAGGCTTTTGGATCTGGAGGCAGCAGTGGGATGGAGACTACCCCATGGTGCCCAAAGGAAAATGTGTGTTCAGGCAGCTTGTAAAACTGGCACTCCCAAGTCACGTGCTGGGGATGAAGGGAAAACAGACCTGTGGGAAGTTTGGGTTCAACCTATTCAAACTCCTCTGGAGTGGGCACAGGGCATGAGAGCCCAGGAGGCAAAGCGCCATCTTAAAAGGAGCAGAGACGAGCCAGTAGCATCATGGCTCAGCCTTTCCCATGAAATGGGATCCAGGTGGACTTCTTCCATCTAATTGGAAATTAATTTTCATGTCTTGCTCTGGCTGCATCCAATAAAATGCATTCATGTTGGTCTTCAGTGATCTGTACTAGTTGCTGCTTCCACAAAACTATTTTGTATAATTCTTAAAATTTGTATTGGTTTCAGTGGCACTCTTAAAAATGCTACAATTTGTTGCTTTTAAGTATGGCTATTTATTTTCCCCTTTATATATATTTGAAATAAATTCAAACTATTTCATGAATTTTCATTTACCTTTACTTGTGATAAACATGTATAGGACTTCTGGATTACGAAAATAAAAAAAAAACCTTACCTTGACTTGTTACCCAAAGGAGTATTTCTTTCATGGTATTTAAGAAAATTCTTTAACACCTTTAAGAAAAAGGGGGTGCTCTGTCCTTTTTATGGCCCACAAACATGGAGGGGGCAAAAGGGGGATTTTTAAAGCTGGGGATTTAAGAAATGGGGACACCAATTTCTCCTCTTAAAATTCCTGTCTCTCCCACCAACCCTGGCCCTCCCACCTTCTTTGGAATGCGGCTTGAGATGCCACAGCCTGCCTAGTGTGGAGCCCCTTTCTGTGGCATCTCCTCAGGATGGTTTCCTTTTGAATTGAATTGAATACTCTATTTGGCCAAGTGTGATTATACACACAAGGAATTTATCTCCGGTGCAGAAGGTTTCAGTGTGCATGCAAAACAGAATAATAATAATCATAATAATGATACCAATAAGAGGGGGTGGTAAAGAAGATAGAATAGAATAGAGCTGGAAGGGACCCTGGAGGTCATCTAATCCAGCCCCCTGCTCAAGCAGGAGAACCTACACCATCTCGGACAGGTGATTGTCTAGTCTTTTCTTAAAGATCTCCAGTGATGGAGCACCCACGATTTCTGGTGGTAAGCTGTTCCACTGGTTGACTGTCAGGAAGTTTCTCCTTAATTCCAGGTTGCTTCTCTCCTTGATCAGTTTCCAACCATTGTTTCTAGTCTTTCCCTCTGGTGCTCTGGTGAAAAACATGACACTCTCTTCTTTGTGGCAGGCCCTCAGATACTGGAACACTGCTATCATGTCTCCCCTATTTCTTCTTTTCTTTAGACTAGCCAAACCCAAGTCCCGCAGCCATTCCTTGTATGTTTTAGCCTCCAGGCCTTTGATCATCTTAGTTGCTATTCTCTGAATTTTTTCAAAACTCTCAACATCTTTTTTGTGATATGGTGACCAAAATTGGCTGCAGTATTCCAGGTGTGGTCTTACTAGGGCTTTGTAAAGCGGTACTAGTACTTCGCATGATCTTGATTCTATGCCTCTGTTATACAACCCAGGATTGTATTAGCTTTTTTGGTTGCTGCTGCATACTGCTGGCTCATAGTCAAGTGATCATCCACTAGGAGTCCAAGGTCCCTCTCACAGTTGCTATTTTTGAGCCAGGTCTCGCCCAATCTGTATTCGTGCCTTTGATTTTTCCTGCCTAAGTGTAAGACTTTGCTTTTCTCCACATTGAAATTCATTTCAATGTGGAGAAATGCCCATCTTTTTGGATCCTGAGTTTGTCCTCTGGGGTGTTGGCTACTCCTGACAGCTTGGTGTCATCTGCAAATTTGATGAGTTCTCCTTCAATAATAATAATAATAATAGTAATACTTCTACATGGGTAAATATACAGACATTTGACAGTACTGTGAGAATTAGATGTTCAGCAGAGTAATGTCACGAAAGAAAAAAACTGTGTCTAGTTGTTTTGGCATGCAATGCCCTATAGCACCATCCCAAGGGGAGGAGTTGAACCAGTTTCTGTCTAGTATGTGAGGAGTCTGTAAATATTTTCTCAGCCCTTCTTCTGACATATACAAGTCTTCTATGGGAGGCAAGCTGGTTGCAATTGTTTTTTTCTGCAGTCCTAACTATCCATTGGAGTCTGTGCCTGTCAACCAGACAGTTATAGAAGTACAAGTGATAATTCCTCTGTAAATGTGTATCTGGGCTGACGCAGGAAGAATATTCTTTGTTGTGCCTTTTTAATGATGGTTCTAATTTTAGGTGTCCATTTCAAGTCCTGGGAGATTATAGAACCCAAAAACCTGAAGGATTCTACTGCTGATACTGTGCTGTCAAATAAAGTCAGAGAATAGTTCCCATTTGCCAAAACAAATGGAAAAAACTTAACAGGGATTGAGCTGTCACCATAAATATCAGAAAACCTATTTAATGGACACTTACAAGTACCATTCAACAGTAAAAGGGATAAAGTTTATTATTTTGTAAACAAATACATTAAAAAAGAGCCCAGGGCCTTTTTGGGTTATAAAGTGCAGTTATGTTTTCATTATCCTATACAATATGCTGGCATTATGTATTTAAGAGTTTGGTTATGAGATAAAACACTTCTGCCAGATGTGCACTTACATGTTATATTTAGTAGACTTCATTACCTGCCCTTTGTTAATTTATATTTACTGCTGAGTGAGAATAAAGATACAGTGCCTAAGCCTGAAATGATAGGGTTTTTCTGCCTTTAGTGATTTTATTGTCATTTTGGTATTTAAAACTGATGCAAACTTCATTCCCACCAATTTCCATTTATTTCAATAAAGTGTAAAATGGATGTGTGTCCTCCTCAAATATTCTTCACTGCAATACCTGTGGCAATTATTAACTGCAGCTGGAGAGAAAGGTTCAGCATACCTTTTATTTGGGGTGTGTCTTACTTAAAGACCCCTTGAGAAAGGGGTATCCCTCTGCCTTGGGGGGACAATGAGACTTTTAATGGAGAGAGGCAGAAGGAAAGAGCCAAGGTTGTGTGTGTGTGTGGGGGGGGGCATTCTGATTTAGGCCAGGTCCTGCAACGAGCGATGTGACCATTAACAGGAAAGCGAGAGTTTTGCCCCTCCCTCAGCCATTCTGGCAAGCTTTGAACTGATGCAGAGGAGGCAAGTGCGAGGAACAGCGGGGAGGACAAAATCACTGGCAGGAGGGGAGTCATGTATAGGTAGATCAAGAATTTGCTAAATGAATTAAAAGAACAATCCAGAATTCTGCAGGTGATGTTGGTGGTCCAACCCATCGCGGCTGGAGGAAGATGAGAAGCGAGGACCACAAGGTGATGCCTAATGGTGCTAAGCTCCAGTTGCTGCTCGGGCACGGGACCCCCACGTCGTTACTCCCCCTAGGAACGGGGCACTCGGCAGGATCGGCAGCAGGCCTTGCTGTAATACCAGTGGCCACAGAGGTTCACCTTAATCGCCAGAGCACAGTTGGTCCCCACCTGGTCCTGGCAACTGTCATCTGTGGGAGGACCACAAGATCAGGGAGGTCATGCAAGGCAAGAGGGAGAGCCGTGTTGAGCCCCAGTCCTGCCCCAGTGCCAGCCTCCACCCTGTCTGCCCAAGAGTCACCCGCACAGAATCAACCCCACCACATTGCTTGAGGGGTGGGATGGGGCAAAGAACTGGAGGCTTTCCTGAACCTTTGATTTGCACCAACACTGACAAAATGGTGCAAACAAAATATTTCCTCTAAAATAACATTCCTTGAGGGGAAGGTGCATTTTCTTCCTGAAAAAGAAAAGCTCTTAGGCGACTCTCTTACTGAAGTTGCCCAAAGAATTCCAAGTTCCACGGAGGACCTGGGTGTCCCCGCTTCCTCCAGTTGAGGTCAGCTTTAGTCTGCTTTTGCTCCTGGCTGAGTCTGCCTCCTTTCAGTTGCTCTCTCCTCAGGGAAAAAGGAGGGTGCCCTCCCTCCCCCTCGGGCGATCTGGCACAGGCCCCTCAGAAAGCCCTCTCCACCACAAATTTCCAGGAAGTCCTTCTGGGGGGCCCAGCCAGACTTCTGGATCCTCTTCTGGAAAGGAGAGGCTCGTGGAAGGTTGTGGTGCAGTCAGATCAGCGTGAGGACCAGGAAAGACAGAAATTGGCCTTCCCAGCACTGGGGCTCTAACATCACCGGGCATGGCTCTCTCCATCACGGCATTTAAGCTCTCCCCCCCCCCTCGTCTGCCAGGCATCCCAGCTAACCTGGTGGTTCGGTTGGGCAGGGATGGAGGTCACAGGTCTGCTTTGCAACTGGTTTCAGGAGTGGGTCACACCCACGAACAAGATCCTCCCCTTGGTAACACTTGACGTCCCGCATCCTCAGGCCAATTCCACAGGTTTTTGTGCACTGGGAGGTGGGAACAAAAGCTCTTTCGGCAATTTAAGCCAACCAGAACAATTCAAAAGGAGTTCCAGCCCTTCAGAAAAGCTGGCAGACCAAGGAAAGAGGAGGAAAAGGAGGAGGAGGAGGAAACTAGTAGTTTTGCAGCTATTTAAAATATGCTGCAGGTGAGCCAACATCCCATCTCCTGAGTTCTTGGCTGCAGTCAATGGGCTGCTGCTGCCGGTTTCAAATCGGCAGTGTCCTAATGCAGAGAGCCCAGGAGACAATCCCAACCCTAGCCCCACCCAAACCACCTGGGGGAGGGGAGTTGCACCTCCACATTTCATCTCTCAGGAGTTTCATTTATTTTATGGGTTGCTAATCTAAGAAATTTGCTCACTGCTCTCAATGTTCTTGACTCAGCACCCCACAGCTTCCTCCTCTATGCTGCAGTGGGGAGGAGGGGCGACAGCCGTGAGTGACAACAGGGACCATCTGCCCTTTTGCACTACCTATTTATAGCAAATGTCAGAACCCATGTTACTGGGGTGGGGGACTCTCTTCTATTTCTTCCTATTTTCTTACTACGGGTTCTGCCATGCTCCCGAAGGGGAAGGGGGAAGACGCTGCAGGCTGTCTCTGTTTCTTTTGTTTCACTGCAATGTATCTCTCCCGGTGCTTCTGCATATTTACTCTTTGAACTGTCTCTCCCTTGATGTTACCTTGCGGAAGGGGGGGGGGGGAGAAAGGAATATGCCTCTGGCCATCTGGCTTATCTCCCGTTTCTGAAGGGAAGGTGCGAAGACCCAACAACATTGCTGCGAGCCTGGGAGAGACCTGTGTTATCACCTCCTTTCCCACAACGGACTTAACACCTGAGGATTCAAACTGACTGGATGAACTGTTGGGGTGGGGTTTGCTTGGGACTCTTTTAACCTATTGATCTGAGCGGGAACCCCTCAGATCCTGCCTATTATGCCTACTATCAGCTTCTCCTAATAAAAGTTCCTTTTGGAAGAAACTGCTGCCACGAGTCTTGCTTTCTTAGAATGAGGTTTTGAAGTGGGCCCTGACAGCAAGGCCTGGCCTGCTTTCACAGGAGCATTTGTGGCAGAGGACACCCGGGGGAGATGGATGTGCCGAGGGCATCTCTGCTGTCAAGAAGCCTCCCTGCCTCTGGGCAGCCTGGCGAGAGCTGCGGGAGCTCCTGCCAGTGACCAAGTGAGCCACTGCAGCCGCTGGGCCAATGTGAGCCTCTCACAGTCTGGAGCATTAGGCATAAAACCAGCTGTCCTTTCTTGGAAACCCCGGAGACGTGAGATCCTTGAGGTGGGAGTGGACATCAGGTTCCGGGCAGGGAACTGCCCAGGGGTTCATTAGTCTTGAAATGTGAGGGGCATTAATTGGGGTGACCAGTTGCAAACTTTCCTGGTTCTTAAATTCCCATGGCTACTAAAAAGGCCCCCACTTAGCTCTGCCCTGCACAGGACAGCAGAACCCTGTAGAGGCATTCTGAAGAAGTATGGTTTGCTGGGCGGGGTGCAGGGGGGGGGAGAACCAGAATCCAGTTGGCTGGTTTGGCCACGGCAGATCAATTGCAGCCACCCTTTCCTATTTTGGCTTTGTATCCCACAAATTGAGTCACCGCAGGCCAGGTTGATCCTCTTTCAGCCAAAGGGCCACCACCTCCTGGTTGCTGATGGCATTCTTATCTCACATTAAGCCTGTTATAGGTCCTATGTGCCACAGGGGTATTTTCACAATCCTCTAGAGGAGGAGGCTAGTGTTACCAGAACCAGAAGCCCCCCAGGCTCTCACCTCAGACCAAGGGGTGGTGTACCACTTGAAGCAGGGGCGCTCAAAGCAGGTGGCCTCCTCGGCCTCCTTCTTGGTGGTGTCACATGCAGTAGGCGGGCGGGTTTTGATCTTCCCACTGACAATTTCCAGGCAAAGGACCGTCCGCTTCTTCACCCCTCGGCCACAGGTGGCATTGCACTGCCGGAAGAAGGAAGGATCCAGACCTGGCCTGGGCAGCCGAAAGCCCCAAGAACCCTCTCCAGGGATCTCTTACCCGTTCCCAGTCCTGGGCCAGCCAGCCAGCAGGGCAGTTCTTCTCCCCGCAGGGGTGAATGGCGAGCGGTTTGGCTTCAGGGTTGCACTGGGACTCCAGCACCACGCGCCCGTCACTGCTCTTGCAGTAGACCTGCCGGATCATTCGGCCTGGCCCGCAGCCCCCACTGCACTGTAAGGGAGAGAAAAGGGCAGAGGCATACCTAGGCACGTGTCTTGCGAGGGCAGCCAGCTGGGCAGCCACCATCGGCCCTGCCCTGGCAGGTAAGCAAAAGAAACAACTCAAGGCCCTTTTGGCCACTGAAAAGGTGATTTTACAGTTTTGTAAGTTTCCCCAAGCTTTCTCTCTGTGTGTGTGCCTGCGCAGAACAAAAAAGATAAATGGGATGAAAGAAAAAAGCTATTCAGAGAAACTTGGATACATAGGACACCAGTCCCCAACCTTTCTGACACCAGGGACTGGTTTTGGAAGAAAAAATGTCTTCCATGGAGAGGTGTGTGTGTGTGTATGTGTGTTTGTGTGTATGTGTATGGTTTCGCATGGAACCTAAATCCTGTGCATGTGCAGATGAAGCTTCACCCGCTTTCCTGCTGCTTGCACAGCACAGTTCCCAACAGGCCATGGACCAGTATTGCTCTGCAGCCCAGGCGTTGGGGACTCCTGAGCTAAGACAAGTGCTACCCAGGCAGCTGCATGCAGCACATTGAAGTAGCAGGGCTGAGTCATAAAATCCTAGTGCTGCAAGGGACACTTGAGGCCATCCACTGCACCCCTCGGGGCAGGAATCCAGGAGCATCTGCTTCATCACAGGACAGCTGCCCCCCCCCCCCCATTTGCTGCCTTCTTGGCTTCTTGGCTTCACTGCCAAACTCCTGGCCTGCTGGGAATCTGCTTTCCTGTGGGAAGAAATGCCAATGTTTCAAAAGGGATGCTATAAAAAATGCTAGAAGATCAGGATGTTTGAAGCCCTCAAAGTTATTTTGATGCATGGAGACTGCCTGGCCCCAAAGCCAAAATTCAAATGACTTTGTTTTGTGGAAAAAGGAAGGAAGCGCGTTGGGGCTGCAAACCGGATGCTAATTAACCAGCCTCTGCTCTGATCCAGAAGGCAGGCCCGTTCCACATGTTGTGACCCACACCAGCCTCCCCCTCGCAGCTCCTGCAAATATCCCAGGCCTGTCTCCTGGTCAGCAAGTTCCTTTTCTACTCAAAAGATTTACCGGTCCCCAGTCAGAGACTGTCCACTGCCGGTCACAGGGTGGCCCTGTGCAGTTCTTATCGGTCGCTGGCTTGGTTCTGGTGTCACACAGCCTCTCTTCTTCAGAACAGCGGATGTCTCGGCTCACCATACTCCTCTCACCACACTTGGCTGTGCACTGGAGGGGGAAGGGTAGGGAGAGTCAGGTATATGGCAGGCCGGAGAGGCTTGACCTCTGCCCTAAGAAGAAGCGTAAAAAAGCAAGTCCCCCAGAAACTGAATCCCAGGATCGACCTGAAGGCCCAGTTCACCTCCAAGGGGGCCTTTCGCTTTGGGGTTCCTTGCAAGCTGAAGGACAGGAATCAGACCTTTTTCTGGGAACCCTCTTAATACTTATTCAATAAATCCTTTCTGGTTTTTCATCTGCCTATTGCTTCTTGGCTCCTGGATGGCCATTGGTAATAGCAGAGGTGCCAGGAGTTAATTCCAGTGGGAATGGGTGCCACTGCCTGGGAGAGACATTTGGCATGTTTAGGTTTTAATAAGTCTCCAGCAGCAGAAAGGGAAGTGAACATAAAACTGAGGAAATGATTTGGAATGAAATCTAAGCAAAGAGGTGGCGAGCGTGTGGGGGGTCAATGGTGTCCGGCAGCAGCCCCCGTCTGCCGGCCCCTTGGCACAGCACAGCTAAGTCTGAGCGCGGAGGCAGAGGCAGGGGGGAAGGCAGGTGATCCGGACGTGCTGTGCAGCCACCTGGCTCGCGAGAGGCTCACACGGCAGCATCAGCAGCAGGCAAAGGCATGGGGGGCAGGGGAGGCAGGCGATCCTGATACGCATGCGGCTGCCTGCTCCAGTGCAGCCAAGGGCAAGTTGAGAGACAGTGGGATGGAGTGGGTGGTGCGTCGGGATCACTTGCCTCCTCTCTGTGGTTCTGCCTCTGCCTGCTGCCAGTGCCACTGTGTAAGTCTCCCATGAGCCAGGCAGCCATACAGCATGTCCGCATAGCTTGCCTCCCCCCATGCCTCTGCCCCTGTCTGCTGCCAGTGCTGCTGAGCGAGCCTCCTGTGAGCCAGGCGGCTGCGCAGCGCATCTGGATCACCTGCCTCCGCCCTGCCTCTGCCTCCATGCTCGGACTTACCTGCGCTGTGCAGGCTGCGGCACTTGCCGGACACCATCGCCCCCATAAACTTTCCACCTCCTGTGCCCCCACGCTCGGCTTATTTTTGGGGTAGGGCTTATATTAGGAGCACACCAAAAAATCAGACTAGGCTTTATTTTTGGGGAATCATGCTAAATAGCCTGTTCCTCAGAGGGGGAAGTGCCTTCCACAAAGGACAGGAGAGAAGGCAAAAGCCAGAGGGATCTGCTGGTTAGTGTTAGCCCTGCCTGGAGTAAATCTAGGACTTTTTAGGACAGTGATGGCGAACCTTTTAGAGACCGAGTGCCCAAAAACTGGCCCTGCCCCTGCTCCGCCCCCACCCTGTCCCCCACCCTACCTGCCCGCAGGGTCACTCACTGCCTCCAGGGCCCGCCACAGATCGCCCAGGCAGTCCAGCAGCGCCATGGCGGCCACAGCCTCTGCCCGCGCCCTGCAGCATCAACTGCGCGACGGGGCGTGAGGGCAGAGTCTTGTCCATGCTGCCTGGCTGCCATGTCCTTGGCTGTGCTGCTCCGCGTGGGCCACGCTCAGGGGCGACTGTCCTCCAGGGGGGCTGCTGGTGAGGAGGGGGTCATGGGGGGAGGTGAGGCTGGGGCAACAGCACGTGTGCCCACAGAGAGGGCTCTGAGTGCCACCTCTGGCACGCGTGCCATAGGTTCGCCACCACTGTTTTAGGAACTCAGCTCAGGGGGGCCCACTTAGAGGCGTCCTGTGAGCCATGGCCAGCACACCTGAGCAAAAGTTGCTTGGCCACCTGTATTCGAAACCACTTGTGGAAACAGCTGCTGGAAAAGGCTCCCAGACATTAGCCGCTGCTCCTGCCAACTCTCCCACAAAGCTTGCCCCTGCAGCTAGGCAATCCACAGAGCTTGCTGGGATCAAAGCCCAGAGACCCCTCAGCCAGAATTTACCTCAGACCACTCAGACATTTCCCACTGTGGCCCGCAGGTTGGGTTCTTGCAGACTTTCTGCTCTTCTGGCCGAGTGATGTCGGCCGATTCGCACAGGTTGCTGTAAACAGAGCTGTCCAGGCCTGGCGAGAGCATCTTCCAGCAGCGAACAATGCGGAACTGATGACCTTCTCCACAGGTCCTGGAACACTCGCTCCAGCTGCTGGTCTCCCACCTGTCCAAAGCAAGGTGGTGTTTCAGGATGAGGAACAGTGAGGGAGGACAGCTAGGCCAGGCTCTCCAGGGATGACCAGGACTGTGATCAGGTTTGGTTTTGCTATTCTTCATCTCCCAAAAGAGACGGCAGTACCTTGGCCCATTTAAGTGAGGTTGGCTCAAAATGACATTTAAATCAAAAGGTGTTTTTAAAAAAATATCCAAGACCTCCAGCTTTAGAGCATGTTGGCAG